CAATATATAATTTTTTGTAAACATAAAAAAAAGAACCTTCATAAAGGCTCAAAAACAACAACAACAACAACAACAACAACAATAAAAAATAGAACAAAATGAAAGAGATAAAATAAAAGGGAAAAAAAAAAAAAAAAAAAAAAGAAGAAAAAAAAATAAAGAAATATCCTCAACCTTGAAAGAATTGATATTACGATCGTATAAACAAATTTATATATATATATATATATTTTTTTTTTTAATATTTACAATTTCTTTTCGTAATACATATAATAATAAAAGAGATAAACTTGAGAGAGAAAGAGAGAGAGAGAGAGAGAGAGAGAGAGAGAGAGAGAGAGAGAGAGAGAGAGAGAGAGAATCGATTAAAAGGATCGATTTAAAGGTCCCGTCCTATAGGGAAGGTCCTATAGATTCGTCTGTAGGAAACAAGAACGATATCCTGTGAATATCCAAAGGTACGAAGAAGATTCTTATCAAACTAAGACGACTGGTAGGTCGCAGCTGGTGGTGGTAGCCGGACGAACGATAAGAGTGGTCGAGAGTAGCCAAGCTGTAAAAGAGGAAGAAAGAGGGACTCGAGAAAAAGGCCGGGTCGATAAGAGCACGACGCCTCGAGACGTATGTATATACATAACTCGGCACGATAACTCTCTGTCTATTTCTCTTTCTCTTTCTCTCTCTCTCTCTCTCTCTCTCTCTTTCTCTCTCTCTCTCTCTCTCTCTCTCTCTCTCTCTCTCTCTCTCTCTCTCTCTCTCTCTCTCTCTCTCTCTCTCTCTCTCTCTCTCTCTCTCTCTCTCTCTCCGTCTTTCTCTCTTCTTAAAGCAATGTAAAGTTACACGATTCTCGTTCTCAACTGCATAAATTGCACACCGTTGCAAGGACGACGACTGACGAGAAGAGGAGAATGCAACGACGACGCGACTCTCATCGAATCCGATTTCTAATTTTTCTTTCTTGTTTTTTTTTCTTTTTTCTATTTTTTTTTTTCTCTCTATTTTCCTTTTTCTTTTACCTCTATGTTTTTTTCCCCCTCGTCTCCGTCTTATTCATAGCTACAATAGTACGTAAACGAGGATAACGTCTTAACGGTTTACATTTACGTTTCAAAAGGTAGAACGAAGTAAAGGAAATAAACTTGGATTAAGATAAATAAATTTATTGATTTTGATCGATTGATTTCTTTTTTTTTTTTTTTTTTTTTTTAAATCGAATGGAAATTTCTCCTTTTATATATATATATATTTTTTTTTTTTTTCTGATACCACCAAACTACATTTTAGTTCGTTTTTTTTCCTATGTAATCGATCGTTCAAATTATATTTATATTTATGTAATTTCTTTTTCTAAGGAGAGGATCAATGTAAAATCAGTCAAGTTAATCTCTCTCTCTTTCTTTCTGCCATTTTTTCTCTCGTTGGAATAAATGTATTCTCATTAAATATATTCCGATATTTTCGAACTCATAAAAAAAAAAAAAAAAAAAAAAAAAAAAAAAAAAAAAAAAAAAAAAATGCAATTGAATGACCACAAACGATAGGAAACTCTTTGATGTTTATTTCCTTTTCATACGAATCAGTAGATATAAAAAAAAAAAAAAAAAAAAAAAAAAAAATACCGAAAGAAAACAAAGAAAAAAAAAGAAAGGGAAAAAAAAGAGTGAGATAGCAGAAATAATTCATCATAAAAGTAATCGAAACGATACAGGGCGTTCGATTCGAGATAATATCAAGCTGTGTGATAATGTCATGCTTTTCACACACATATGTATATATATATATATATATATATATATATTTATATATTTATATACATATATACATTCATAAATCAGGAAACGTAACGGGCCGACACAGTCTATAACCGTTATTCTCTCGTGTTCAGCAAATTGAGCCACTTCAACGTCGCGATACGAAATACGTTGGTTGGCACCATGAGAGAGAAATATATATATATATATATATAAAGAGAGAGAGAGAGAAAGAGAGAGAGAGAGAGAGAGAGAGAGAGAGGGAGAGAGAGAGTTTGTTATATGAACGTATATAGCTTATGCAGACGAGTGAGAGAATATGAGAGGATACACGCGTCTCTCTTCTCTAGACAAACTCTCATTATTAGATAATATCGCACTCGGGAAATGGAACAAAGTTTAATTTCCTCGATAAAGGACGCGAGCCAAAGGGAGCATCAACGTCGATCGACGTCCGCGAATTCACTTTATTCACACATATACAAGGATACATACGTTACATATACTTTCCCAGCCTCTTTCTCTCTCTCTCTCTCTCTCTCTCTCTCTCTCTCTCTCTCTCTCTCTCTCTCTCTCTCTCTCTCTCTCTTGTTATTCTCTATAAAGAACTCAATTTTTTTTTTTTAATCTATACATTTTGAATTTCAATTTTATCACGTTTATTTTATTTTATTTTTATTTTGTAATCTCACTCTCTCTCTCTCTCTCTCTCTCTCTCTCTCTCTCTCTCTCTCTCTGTCTGTCTTTCTCTCACTATCAATACTTTATTATCGATTAGTATCGATAAAAATTCTTGAAATATGTAGACAGTTGACAAACGATAACGATTTTCTAAATGCGAATTTTTTAATTAAAGTAAATATTGACGAATGAAGAATTAATTCGTATAAGAGGGATGAATTGAAGAAGGATGAAAAAAGAAGGAAAAAAAGAAAAAGAAACAAATGATTTTTGTAATAAAAGAAAACTTTTTTTGAGTGATCATTTCATTCCACCGTATTGGTGCAAAAGTGAATTTCGTTATACCGCGCAATGTGCAAAAGAAAAGAAAAGAAGAAAAAAAAAAAAAGAGATAAAAATAAAAATTAGAGAAAATGGGAAAAAAGCGAAGAAATATTATCGTAAACGAATAATTCAATTATGATGCATTTCAAAAGAAAATGCATATTTAATCAAAGCTTCATGATTCAATAATTCGTATAATGCGATTAATGAAAAGAGAAAAAAATAATTAAATAAAAGATAAAAACAAATTGATATTTGTAACAAGGAAAACTTTGTTATCGACGGTCTGGATTATTTCTTTTCGTAATGTTAACGCGCAAGTGGATTTCATGATACCGCGAAATTTGTAGATATCGTGATATAAAAAAAAAAAAAAAGATAAAAGAAAGAAAGGAATTAGATAGAAAGTAAGAGAAAGAAAACAAGAGAGAGAAAGAGACAGAAAGAGAGAGAAAGAGAGAGAGAACATTTTTGAAAACGAATAAGTACTTACTTTTTTCAAAGAAAAATATAAAGCTTTATCGAATTCCAACCATATTATTCTCGTTCGAAGGGAGACGAAATTTCATTTCCTAGCGCTGTCAGCGATGTGTTAACTTCGTGAAGTGAAAAGAGAGATAGAGAGAGAAAGTGAGAGAGAACGGGACAAACAGAATACATACACAAGAGGCAAAGGATTTGACTTTCTCGTTTTTCGTTTCTCGTTAAAGGACAATTTCCCCTTCCCTCCCCTTCCCTCCCTACTCCTGTCAAATATCCTTGGAGAGGAATACACGATGATAACGATGAGAACGAGTACGATACATACAGCACGTCAACAACGAAACACACAGGTATGGTATAAACGACGTAACTAGGATTACTATTAATAAAGTCGTCATGAGGCGAATACTCTGCTCTGATCGATTCTATCGTGTACACGTTCTTCTACCTACACACGTGAAAGAAAGAGTGAGATAGCAAGAAAAGAGAGAGAGAGAGAGAGAGAAAGAGAGAGAGAGAGAGAGAGAGAAGGAAGGGAGAGAGAGAGAGAGAGAGAGAACCTAGAACACGCCACGTGATACCACCCTATCGATAATAACAGCTTTCTAAAAAACCTCCTATACCCTCTCTCTCACGAACGAAACATTTAACGATGTAATACGATTAAAACTTCATTATCACTATCTTTGTTCTCATAGTACTATCGATCGTTATTTTCTTGTTATTATTATTATTGTTATTATTATTATTATTATTATTATTATTATTATTATCATTATCATTATTATTATTATTATTTTCTAAAATATAAATATCGAACGATACTTCTTGTCATGGTAATTAAAATTATTTTCCTTTCTTCGTCAGAAATAAGATAATATTTCGAAATATCGATCGCATAATTATCTTTTAATTCTTTCATTAATACGAATCAATGTCATTTATGTGCAACTTATTTCTCTCTTTCTTTCTTTTTTTTTTTTTCTTTTTTCTTTTTCTTTTTCTTTTCTTTTCTTTCTTTGTCATGACGAAATGAGAATTAAAGATACCGAATGATAATTTTTATCGCTAGTGCTTTTAGTTTTATTCTACTTTATTTTTTATTTGAAATAAATTTTTTTTTTTTTTTTTTTTTTTTTTTTTTTTAAATGCTTTCATTAGATTATTTTTCTTTTCTTAAACGATTCATCGTACAGCTAATCGATCTAATATTCTATTAGACGATCTATAATACAGATCGATCTCCTGTAACGCGAAAACACGTATCGTATTATATAAGGAATTACGAGATCGTGTTGTAGAAGTAGAAATTATAATTATTATTATTATTATTATTATTATTATTATTATTATTATTATTATTCTTATTATTATTATTATTATTATTATTATTATTATTATTATTATTATTATTATTATTATTATTATTATTATTATTATTATTATTATTATTATTATTATTCGACGAATATCAGCAAGAATAATGAAGAAATAAATACATATGTAATTTATATAGAACTCATAGTACACTGTAACTGATATGAATTGATAATTAATTTAAGTTAATTAATTGAATAATTAATTATTCTTATTAATGAATGAATTAATAAGAATAATAATAAATAAATAAATAAACAAATAAACAAATAGATAAGATTGATTCGTATTGTTGAGAATTTGAGGAATACGTCTTTTGAATATATGAGGCAATGGATTATCATTTTCTTTTTTTTTTTTTTTTTTTTTTCGAGAAATCGAATGAGAAAGGAACTTCACGTTGCAATTTCTGAAGCCACGGTGTTTCGCGTGTCATCGATAATCGTACGACTCGCTTACGCAACAAGATCGAATACGCAATTATGTCTTTCTCTCTTCAACTATCGCAACGTTGCTGTTGCTGTTGCCGTAGTTGTTGCTGTTGCTGTTGCTGTTGTTACTGTCACGTGAAGTCTGTACAGTTTATATGTACGTATCTATGTATGTACGTATAGATGTATGTATGTATGTATATATGTATTTATGTATATATGTATACTCAAGTCTCTATCGCAAACAGCATTACGTTTTCAAACGACCGCATTCAAGAGTATCGAACGATCCATCGATGATTGAACATCTCGATTTTTAAAACGAATTCTCGCTCGCATGTTTCCTCTATAAATCTCTTTGATATACATGTAACAGATTAATAACGCTATAGAACATTTTAAATCAAATTCAATTTAATTCTATCGATTCCGTTCATCTTTATATAATCAATTTCTCACAATTTTATAATAACTTGTTAAAGATTATTATTATTATTATTATTATTATTATTATTATTATTATTATTATTATTATTATTATTATTATTATTATTATTTCAGGTTACATATCTTCGTTGTATAAAAACAAGAATTATTACTAGTCGATAAATCATTCATGCGACACGCGGCTGCTTCATGAAACCATCGAAAACAATTAATTACACGTTTATTATTATTATTATTTAATTAGAAGAAGAAAAAAAAAAGAAAAAAAAAAAAAGATGAAAAAAGAAAAGATAAAAGATAATCTAATACATTTCCTAATGTGTGATAATAATTAATAACTACGTTATCGTCTAATAACAATTGTTTAAATTTTCGATGCATCCCTTCGAATGAGTACACAGTCCAGATCTCTCTCTCCCTCTCTCTCTCTCTCTCTCACTCTCTTTCTCCCACCTCCTTCCTCTTTCTTCTATCACCCCCCTCTTTCTCACTCTTTTCATTCATATACTTACGAGAAACAATAAGATCGTTTAAAAGTCGCCTTCTTTGTATTGTTAACGCGGTCGTAAAGAAGAAGACTGACGTAACGTTTTGTGAATTTATCGATGATCTAACGGATAAGTGTCATAAATGAAAGAGGGTTTCGCATCTTCAAGCATATATGTATATGTGTATATATATATATATATATATATATATTTATATATGTATATCGTTCGCCGTTACCATGTCGAAAGACGATATGATACGATACGATCCAATCCGATCCGATACAAACTACATACTCTTCGAGAATAATTTTACGCATTGTATACTAATGTCGCGTGACCGGTAAAAGCACGCTCACTATCTCTCTGCTGATTGGAAGATACAGCGGTTGGTTGATCGTTAATAAAACGATTATATGCGTCAATAATTATAAAAATGGTCTGTCGAAAAAAAAAAAAAAGGACGATTTATTCATTTTTACATTTTCTATTTCATTTTCGTCTACGTATTCGAATGACAATTTTTGTTTTTGAATTAATCGTTATTATTAATTATTATCACTGTCATTTCAATTACTTTTTTTTCCTTTTTCAAATACATTATACTCTTTCATTTACTTGTTTACAAACAATTAATTACGTATATAAAAGTGATAAACGATATGACATTATTGTATTATTGATCGTAAACAAAAGAGATCTTAAATCGTTCGAAAAAAAAAAAAAAAAATTATATCCCATTTTACGATCAATTGAATTAGCAAATTTTGATTGATACCTTTACATCAAAACAATTTTAGATAGATCGTTTGATCTTTCGGCAATCTCGCAAACAATGTAACTATCGAATTTCTAACTGTTGAGCTTTCGTAATACACGCAAAAAGATTAGAGTAATGATTGACGCGGGAGAGGAGGGGAGAGAAAAGGAAAAAAAAGAAAAAGTATAAGGATATGAATTAAATTCGTTAACTTGCCGATAGTTAACAAGTAAGTCATTAATTTGACTTTTTCAATTATGATAACCTGGCTATTGCGCATATATATATATATATATATATATATATATATGTATGTATGTATATAATTGTAAGTGTCCCTTTCAACAACCAGGTAGTAACGTTGATTTATCGAAGCGTGTTACGATCAAAGAACTAGTTTATCGTGGTCCCTAATTTGATCGGCGATTTGCCAAAATAGACCGACCACCAACGTTGAGAGTTAGTAGTAGTAGCAACAGCAATAGCAATAGTAGCAGTAGTAGTAGTAGTAGTAATAGTAGTAGTAATAGTAGTAGTAGTAGTATCGGACTTCCGTTAAAACGTATCGACTGTAACTGGAGGCCATTACGACGGCGCATTTCGAAGGTACGCCATTATATATCGGAATCCAATTTACCAAACGCATTACGCGGTCGTATCACCGAAAGCCACTGGATTTCTGCCTATAAATTTCTTGCTGAATACGTTTAAATTAACGATCGAACACCGATAAGATAGAGATTATTCCTCGAGTGTCTTCTAATTTTGGAAAAATTTTAGAAAAGGAAATGAGTAAAATTGAATGTATAAATATTTGCATGTATGTATGTATATTACCACGTATTTAATATTGCTCATATATTATATAATAGGTTGTTCCTGTTGATAAGTAATACAGGAATTTCCAATTAAAAAAAAAAAAAAAAAAAAAAAAAAAAAAAAATCAAAATTACATACACACACACGCACACATATATTCAGTTGGTACAAAAATAATTGCAGTTTTTATCTATTTACTAAGAGTGATAAAAACCGCAATTATTTTCGTACCATTCTAACATATATTATTTCATTATACTTTTATTAATTTCTTATAAAGAATAATACATTTTTTTTAATCGAACCAACATATATTATTTTATTTCTTTATTACATGTATAATAATTAATAAGTAATTATTTATATATACATATATATTATATTGTGTATAAAAATGAAAATGTTTTCTTTTTTTATTTCGTTGCAAAACGAAAAAAGGTACGTACGTATGTATATATGTATGTATGTATGTATGTATCTATGTGTGTTGTATATGTATCAATCTATCGATTCACGTGAAGAGAGAAGCGGACACAGTCGACGTGTTAAGAGTTAAATCGAGTTAGAGATCAAGCCGAGGGATGGATGGATGAATTGCGTAGGTGGCGAGGAGAATCGGAATACCAATGGCACGTGCTACGTGGAGCACAGTTGTTTGTACGATCTAACGTTACATATGACAGAACATATGAAAGAAATGAAATGTATTATAGTATTGTTATAGGAAATATCGAACTTAATGATTCAATGAAAACACTCGTATGATACGATATATATATATATAGAAAATAATACTCATGAATGATTCGATTAAATCTTTTTTTCTTTTTATAAATACAAATTTTTTTTATAAATATAAAACTCGAATAAATCGCTCGACTTATTTAATTTTTATTTTGTTTTTCTCTTTTTTCTTTTAATAAATTTTTTTGTAATAGATACAAAATATAATAGTTTTTTAAATTAATAAATAAATAAATATATATATATATATATGTATATATATATATGTATATATATATATATATGTATATATATACATTAATTATTCGCTCTCTCTCTCTCTCTCCTTCTTTCTCTGTATTTTTTTTTTTAATCGACAAAGCGAAACTTTTATTATTATTATTATTATTATTATTATTATTATTATTATTATTATTATTATTATTATTATTATTATATTATCATTATTATTTTAGAATCAGATGAGCATACTCCGATTAATCGAAGTTGAAAAGTTCGCGGAATTCTCTTGTTGAGATTATCGGTTAACGAGATCAGTTTACTCTACACGAGTAAAAATAACGATAATTAGCGCAAACTCGCCTCCTCCCCCTCCCTCCCTTTGCTCCTCTTCCCCCGCGGCTTATGTCGTAACAAGATAAATCCGCTCTAACGGAGTAAGCGTCCGATACGTAATACCGAGAAACGTTTTTGCGGAATTGTAAAATCGCTGATTCAGAATAAAAATTCAATAAGGGATTTTTTTCTCTTGTTTTTGTTTCTTTCCCATTATTTATTAAGATTTATAACCAATGGTCATTGATTCAAATGTTGAATGTTAATTCGCGATTATTATTCGACATAAAAAGAAATTTCATGATAAATCACATTTTTTTTTTTTTAACACGATCATTGAAATAATTTATACGTAAGTCCATTAGACGGATATTAAAGTGTGATGATCTGTTTTTCTTCGTAAATAAAAAAAAAATATAGTTTTTCATATTCTTAAAAATAAAAAAAAATAATAATAATAATAAAAAGAAAAAAAAAAAAAAAAAGAAAAAGAAGGTAAAGAAAGAAAAAAAAGAAAGCAAAAAAAGAAGGAAAAAGGAATTAATAAATATCTAATAATATGATTTACGTAACGACAAAGAGACAATCTTTTTTTGTACTAATTACAAACTACTAATCATGCATATATTAAAATATAATTTCTTTTTTTATAAACATAAGAACATTCTTATATTCTTTTCATTATATCAAAAAATTGATAAATATACATAACATATAATGTATAAAAAAATAATTTACATACACGCGTGCATGCATGCGTATGTATGTATTATGTATGTGTGTGTGTGTGTGTGTGTGTGTGTGTGCATGTGTGTGTATGTTATGTATCTTACTTTATATACAAAGTAACTATAAACTAACAGCTGCCCACGCGACAAAAGCTTCTCGTTATCCTCCCTCTTCTCCTCTACCAATATCACCACCATCACCACACTTCGCTTGTTCTTACACGTGTAACGAGCGAGAAAACGCGATGACGCGCACGCGAGAGAATGAGAGAGAAGGAGAGACAGAGAGACAACAGACAGAAAGAGAGAGAGAGAGAAAGAGAGAGAGAGAGAGAGAGAGAGACAGACAGAGGGAAAGAGAAAAAGAGAAAGAGAGAGAGAGAGAGGCATGCATCGAAGATTCGCCGTGGGAGAGATAACGACCAGCGAAGCAGATGATTTTAACGCTGTCTTATCTACGTAATTCGCTCTCTCTCTCTCTCTCTTTCTCTCTCTCTCTCTTTCTCTCTCTCTCTCTCTATCTATCTTTATGTCCCTGCCTCTATTTCTTTTCTTTACCCATCGATCGATGATATCGAAATAAATTCAAGTTAAAAATCTTAATTAAAATAATTTCGAAAATAAATTACATTATAATTTCGTATAAGCGATTTCGTACAATTCGATCGCATAAAGAATATTTAAAAGTTATCCATTAAAAATAAATAAATGTGTATATATATATATATATATATATATATATATATATATATATATATATATATATATACATATATATATGTATCAGATATGTATATATATCAAATTGTATCAGATAATTTATCTCTAACCACTTAAATATACTTCTCATCGTTATTAATAATCGATTCTAATAATAAAATGATATATTAAATGGCACTATATGATTATCTCTCAATTAAGATATTCCGTTACAATAATTAGATTTAGATGAAATATTTAAGAAAGAAAGAAAAAAAAAAAAAAGAAAAAAAAAGTATATACATACACATATATAAACTGTAATATTATGATTATATATCCTAATAAGATAGTTAGATAAACTTTCTCTTTGCTTTACGAAAATTCAGATTGAAATGAAGAATCGATCGTTACAATAATTTTTTAATTAAATTTTAAAAATTATATGTAATATAACATTTATATATACAAATACATAAACACACACACACACACACACACACATATTATTATTAAAAAATATAAAAAAAATTTTATATTTGATGAAAAAGTTACTTCCAAATTATATTTCAAAATGATTCAAATACTTCTTTTTATAGAGAATTATATATAATTCGACGATTTTCTTTTTTATAAGAAAAATAATAGATAATAAATAATAAGAAATATAGAAATAAATAATAACAAATATAGAAACAAACAATAACAAATATAGAAAATAATAGAAAATAATTTTTTTCTTTATTTTTTTTTTTTTTCAAGACCTTGAAGAAAAAGAAACAAGATTGTTTTGAGGGTGGAGGTTTAGGGTGAAAGATGATAGCGTCTCGTATGATCAATGCTCTCAAGTAGCTTAAAAAAATCCACAAATTTACGCATATACGATTGTTCGTGAACAAAATGTGTGTCCTCTTATATGACACGGCCGACCATGAACTCTCCTAAATGTTCGATCGCCTCTACGTATGTATGTATGTACATATGAATGTATGTATATATGTATGTATGTATGTATGTATGTATGTATGTATGTATGTATGTATGTATGTATGTATGTATGTATGTATGTATGTATGTATGTATGTATGTATGTATGTATGTATGTATGTATGTATGTATGTATGTATGTATGTATGTATGTATGTATGTGTATATATATATATATATATATATGTACGCATTACAAACACGCATAGGCATATCATCTTATACTCACTTAAATACATATATGTGTACGTACATATGTACGTGCCCATGCTTTACACGTATATACATAATAAACACGCACGTATATATTTTAACTGTATCGAGCAAAAGTTAGTAGCAAAAGTGGCGTTTCAATCGTTTATTTTTTTTATGCTTCGAAATGGAGAAAAAAAAGAAATAAAAAATACAAAGGAAAAAACGAAACAAAAAGAGAGAGAGAGAGAGAGAGAGAGAGAGAGAGAGAGAGAAAGAGAGAAAGAGAAATTTAATAAGTAACGCACAAATCGAGTTATACTACTTTTATTGTTTTTTTCCCACTCCTCTTTCCTCTCTCTCCCTCTCGCTCACTTGTTCTCTCTCACCCTCTCTCTTTCTCTATTTTATCGACAAAACGCGTATAACTTTTCTTGGAAAGAGTGGGCGGTCGAGATAGACCAACTAGGTAGTATATGCTATATCCCTCAGCACGAGGGTTGAATATGATTTATTGATTAAGGTTTTTATATATACACCGAGCTCATTCTCTTCCTACGTGGAACGAGCTTCGATGACGCCTTCTCCTTTGTCTTCTCTCTCTCTCTCTCTCTCTCTCTCTCTCTCTCTCTCTCTCTCTCTCTCTCTCTCTCTCTCTCACTCTGTTTTTCTCACTCCTTTTCTTTATTTTTTCTATCCCCTTCTTAAATCGAACACTTATATCGATCAACACGTTAATCGTAATACAAATTTTGTTCGACATTTTATATTTGAAAAAGAGAGAGAGAGAGAGAGAGAGAGAGAGAGAGAGAGAGAAAGAAAATAAAAAAAAATGAAAACAATAACAATAAAAAGAGAAGAATGAAATGAAACGAAATGAAATAAAAAGTAATATATAATAAATAATGAAATGAAAAATAACGAAATGAAATAAAATATTGAACGAAGGTAAAATCAATTTTACAAACGAGATAGGAAAGCAAACACAGGACGGACATTTATACATTTGCCATTATGAGATTTCAAAAAATAAT